GAAATGAAAATGTGACACTTGGAAGAACAGCAAGCCTAGTACCGAACGATTTTTTTTGCTGTGAAATTATTGAACAACCTACTATTTTTGCTATTAGCAGTAGGCTAGGCTACTTTGTAGAAATGCTAAATAACAGCGTAACATAGTTGTTAAAAGCGACAACCTTTCTTTGCCCTAGCTGCTTAAACCTGCAGAGAACTTGGTTGTTACCATTTGTGCTGTCATGGCCATGGAGGGGAAACCTGCTTCCGGAAAAACGAATGTACTTCGTCTCCTGATATATTTTGGGCTCAATCCTGCAGCTGTGGCTTATGCCATGACTACACTGGGGTCTGGGATGATAAACAACATATTCAGCTTCTACTATGTCAAACTCTTTCTCAATAAGTACAAGATATCAGAGGGAGCATTCCACCAATCACAAGTGAGTATTTCATTTTGACGTATTGCTGTTCTTTGTATACAAATGTCTATCAATGTTATTATAGATCATATCATAATACAATAACACTGCTAGTAGTAAACAGTAATATGGAAATTTTTTGGGCTGCTTTCCACTTAAAAAGGCTGCATCATGATGATTTTATTAAACTTTAAGCTGTTATTATTATTATTATTATTTTGATCACTGATAACTAATTGTTTAGTAAATGGGATATCTGGCAGAAGTAAAATATGCTTAACATTTCCCAGAGTGTGGGTTGATTTCTCCATATTGCTTATTTATTTCAGCCAACTGTCCAAAACCTAAAGATACTCACTCAATTTACTGCAAAAAGGTTCACTCAATATTACAGTCAAGAACTCAACAAGGTGTTTCTGGCCTTACAAAAACTCTGCTTTGATTTATGATTCAATTGATACAAACCACAATTGCTTTAATTAGGAATGCAAGTACCGACAGGAACATTTCCTTTTCCCCTGGGGAAATTACAAGATTAGCTTTCAGACAGGCAGATGCACGTACACACATGACCGAAATGCTTACGAGATAGTCATGTGAAATGGAGAAAGTAGCAAATCCTCTCTAGTGTTTCAATATGACTCCTATCTTCCCAGGTGGTGTACATGGTGTGGAATGCGATCAACGACCCTCTGTTTGGATACCTGCAAGATAACTCCAGGGTGCCGTGCTGCTCTCAGCGACGTCTCTCCATCCTGTACGGGGCTCCCCTCTACTCACTGGCTTTTCTTCTAGCCTGGTTCCCATGGCAGACGTACGCCCCCGGGGACTGGCTGAGCGGCGTGCACTTGACAGTGTCGCTGTGTGCTTTTGATGCCATGCTGACTTTTGTGCTGCTGGCACAATGTGCGTTGTTTGCAGAGATTTCGGGGCACCATCAGAGCCGAATAAGACTTGTGAAGTACAACCAGGTAAGGACTTTTAATACATAACAGTTTTTCCATCAGTGAAAAGGTCCATGCTTCTCATACCTCTCTGATACCATCTTACACCTTTTATTTCCCAGGTGGCTTCTCTCATTGGTTCCTCAAGTGTCCTCTTCTGTGGTGTTCTTTCCAAAAACATGGAGGACTTTGCCTCCTTCCAAGCCTTCTCAGTGCTGATCGCTATCCTGAGCTGTGGCTGCATGCTCTACACAGGCTTCAACAGCGAGAGCCGCTTCGACCAAGTGTCAGATTCAGGGGGATCTGCTGACCAGACTTCCCATCAATCCGCAGTTTCCTTCTCCATGTTGAAATCTTTGACATGGCAAATTCTGAGCAACAGGGACTTCCAGATTTTTGTGTTCATGAACTTCTTTCAGGTGTTCGTGTTAGCTTTCTTTAATAACTTTACCATGATCTTTACTGAGCACCTGATTCCTCCAGATGTGCTTCCATCACTTGCCAAGAGCATCATGTACGGAGCGGGATTCATGTGTCCACAGGTACTGTCTTTGTTTGTGTCCTTTTGTCCTGTCGTCTCAAAGGACAATGCTGACTATTAATTACAACTCAGTTAAAATAATTGGAATACACGTAATGGATATTTTCAGGCAATACCAATAACTAATAATTACCTCCTATGGCTGAGGAACTATCATTTCACCTTTTTTTTATTTTAAAAGGAAACGTTTTTGCACATCGGAATGTAAAAAAGGTGTAGTTGGATGATTTGATATTGCATTGCTTAGACTCAACAAAAATATCACTGTCTCTATTGCTTACACAGCAAAAACAAACAAATATACTTCTTATTTGTTGTGATGTATACAAAAACTCCAAGAGCAACTTTAAAGGTGCATACTGCGCTCTACTGTATCAGAGTGCATAGATGCAGCACCTTTTAAAGTCAATGAATGCAATGTTTCTTTATTATATCAGCCAATTATCTTTTGCTCTAACTTAAACCATAAGAAAAATACACAATAATGTAAATATCCCATTATCAGCCCAATACATATTGTGCAGCCCTTACTTTTCGGAAGTCCACATTTAAACTGAGCTCGGCTGCAGCACCAAATGCACCAACAAGAAAGTGTTTATTTACTACTTTATATATAGTATGCTATGCCTTTATGTTTAAGTGTTGTTCCTGACTCCTTGTCTCCTTCCCAGCTGTTAGTATTAAGCTGTCAGAGTCTGCTCCACAGCCTCGGCTACTACAGGATCATCCTCTACACCTTCTACATGCAATCTGGAATGGCGGCTATCATGCTTGCACTCGGTCCTCAGCATTATTATATCCTGGCATTTTTCCTCACTGTTAATATGTAAGAGGTTAAACTTCATTTAATCTTACATCGTTTATTTTTTCGGATTACATTATCACTACAACTCGATTGAATTTAACCTTCACTCTCTTCTTGTCTTTCGTGCAGGATCATAATCCAAGCAGCCTTCAGTCTCTTTGGCTTGCCTTTGGCGGACATCATTGACAAAGACATGCAGAAGTACAAGCGCAGGTAAAATACAGATGATTATCAGCAAACTTCCCCTTTTCACATGAATACACAGAATTTCATCTGACAAAAATATATTGTCTTGTTACCAGTGCCAAGATGTTTTCTACTGAAGTTATAATTAAACATGTTCCCATTATTTGACTGGTGATATCATATTATAACGTGTATTCCCATCAACAGTTCCCCTCTCTCCTCCATGGTGTTTGGGACGAACGCTCTGTTCACTAAGCCGGCTCAGTCTCTAGCCCCAATGATTGTGCTGACTATCCTCAATCAGTTTGGATATGAACAGCTGAAGGAAGCAGAAACGGGTTCAAATCCAAGGTATGGAGACGTTCTTGATTCTCAGCTTATAGATCAAAACAAGTCAAAATTAAAACTGTTAAGATTTGATGTACAGTAGTTTTTATTCAGTAATATTTATTTGCTCCCCTTAACTTGAGGAAACCAACAATCTGTGAAAACTGATATTATAAGAGCTGTTAAAAAAGAAAAACTGGAGTAGATAACTTTTGGTTTAAGTGAAATGCTTGTACAGAAATCCCATACCACCACTAAATGTAGTTTATTCTGAGATGTCCTTTTATTTCAGTTGCATTATTTCACAGATTAAGAGATATTTCGGATATGTTGAATATGGGCTGAAAAGGTTAGCACACAAATCTAATTAAAAACAGGCCTGTGTAAAAACAATTCAAAGAAGATTTGACATTCACTTTATTTAAAAGACATTTAATAATAATAATAATACATGTTATTTGTATATACAAAGCAGCCCAAAGTGCTTTACAGAAAACACAACAACAATATTAAAATAATATAAAAAAATTAATACAGAACAAGAAAAAACATCTACAGTGATAATTTGTTAAAATAAAACAATTTAAAAAAGAAAATTTAAAAATGTCAAATAAAATCAAAACATAAAAAAAATACATAAAAACATGGACAATGATACTAGTGACAATTGAACGTTAACCCAAATAAAAAAGATAGGTTTTTAATTTGCTTTAGAAGAAACTTCATCTCTGGAATACACTTTAAACAATCTGCCTAACGTGTTCAGGTTGTTACACTTTCAGTTTCATTGTTATAACAGTGTGCAACAAGTCAAATGGTGATGCGTTGTAAAACGATTTAAACATAGAATCCCTTTGTGTCTGTTTGCAGTGCCTGGGGGAGCCTCCGGAGCGTCATGTTCTACTTGGTGTGTCTGGTGCCCCTGTGTGTCGCTGCGCTGCAAGTCCTTTCCTGGAGGCTGTTTTCCATCCGCAGCAGTCACACAGTGGACGCAAAGTACCTCGATAATTAACTTCAATATCTTCAGTTTTCATAGGAAGACGGTTGATCTTTCACCAGCTGGAATTTGGGGAACATTTTTTTTTTGTGCTATGTGATAATGAGATTATATTTGAGAGAATTCAGGTTGTTACTGAACATGTACTAAATTCACCACTGTAAAGCGTCAGCGGTGTAAAAGCACACCAAGGAGATACACTGTATATAATAATTATATTTGAAGAAGTGAAAATATAACCTTTCAAACACTTTCTGGATAACTTGACCAAACATTGTAGAATTGTAATGTTAACCAGAAAGCCATTAAAGGAAAAGAGATACATACTGTACTGGCAGGGGAAATAAGAATTATATTGCTTCCTTTTAATGATGATAGTAATTGTCCAAATCTTTATCTGACTTTATTCTAGCAATCCAAGACGTACACTGTTCCAGATACAAAATAAAAACACATGTCATGCAAATGCTACAGACAAATATAACATAAGACATAACAAATAAGTAGCTGCAGTGCAGTCGACACCATCTTCTTTGCTGTAAACATGGGCCCTCTTTATTTCACTCGTTATTATAGTCCAACAAGCAAAAATCCCACACACCTCACCTGCATCATTTATTTAAAAATACTATTTTAGAATAATCAATGCAGAGGTGTGCAGTATTTGACTTTTTTCTTAGGAATTGGATCCTCAGGGGAATTGGATTTCCACACCAAAAGCAAAGCAAGGGTTTTTGTGCCTTCTAATTATCTTCACTATATAATCAGTACTTATACTTAGTAAAAAAAACATGATGTAATCACAGCATGGCTCATACCTTTGAGCTTAAAGAGATAGAAGGCATGATGTGTTTATTAAGGATCCCCATTAGCTTTTACTCTTGACAAAAGCTACTCTTCCTGGGGTCCGACACTTAAAACAATAATACAACAACATTCAAGACATAAGCCCTGACATCATTAACAACATTAATAACATCACCAATATCATCAACAATCTCCAACATCATCAACAATCTCATCCACTTTCAATTTCGATCTCAGCCAAGGATGAGTGCACAAGACACCCACCAGTACAAAGCATGAGATCAAATTAAATTAGGGTTCACAGCTCACAGGGTACATGGTCATTAGTAGATGGCCCTTAAATCTCTTCTTGAAAGAGGCTCTAGACTCTATTTCAGTAAGGTAGTTTAGCTATGAGTTCCATTCCTTTATAGCTCTATAAGACACAGAAGGTTTCAGAAGATTGGTCCTGGGTTTAGGTGCCAGTAGATGGCCTGATGTAGCTTGTCTAGTCTTATGGTCATGCTCGTCTCTTGTGTAAACTATTTGATCATAAAAATACAATGTTTTTTTGCTAAATTGGATTTTTTTTAGAAAAGTGATAACACGAGATTGCTGATGTTTCTCAACCGGAAGCCATGATAGGTTTCTATGCATAACTCCAATTTGAGTGCGCTTCGAACAGTGGAGAGCTAGTCTGGCAGCCTTGTTTTGAGCTATTTGTCATTTCTTTATATGTGTGATTGTTGTATAAGTTAAAGAGTGCATATCACAGCTTTGAATGTATAACATTGTGTATGTAAACATCCAATTTGACTTTATGAAGTAATTGCTAATGTTAACTGGCAGAAACGTTTCTATGGGCATTTTCAGTAAATAAATACAAGGTGTTGTACCGAATATGATGAAACATATCAGATTGTAAAATGATTGCATTTAGACGTTTTTGTAATTTAAACGTCTTTTCTTTTTTTAGCAAATACTAAACAATACAAAACGTTTGCCTTGTTAATGCAACATTGTCTACTGTATTGTATGCAAGTCATCGGCAATGTTCCCTTTATGTCATTATATTTTTTAATGAGCAATCTTGTAAATACTTTTTTCCCAGAATGTTGAAACTAGTTTGTTTTTACCTTAATTGTTGAAAAAGGGAAATTGCATTGTCTTCTTGCACTGTTGCACAGTTCTGATTTTTACTTTCCATAGTGAACGATGTGGTAGTTGTTTCCTGAAAATGTGACTTTCTATTCTCTGTTTCTGAAAATGCAATTCACTATTTATTTTTTCTATCAAACAACTTGTATGGAAGAAATTAAATTGATGAAGTAAAAAGATGTGCCTCATTTCTGAATCGGATTGGGTTTTCTTTAGTTTCTTTTCAAAAGGTAAACACTACTTTGATTTTAAAAGGAACGAAACTGAAAAACTGAGGATCTTCGTTGTGTTTCCCTTCGTGAGAAAAGGCGAACAAGCACTCGACTAACTTACAGCCTTTGATTTGGTAATTTCCTGTGTCTCTTCACGGCATCCTGTGCCAGGTATTTAACGGCTGTGGAATTTCCTCTCAGTCTGGATGTTGGAGGTAATTTACATCGATGACACTTAGACGTTTTGATAGATGTCATCAGTTGAGCAGTTGAACTCGGTGCTTGGAGCCTGAAACACAATTGAAGTCTATGAATTAAAAACATGCTTTGACACAAGCTTTGCAGAAGTCTCATGCTTACTCAATTTGTCTGTTGACTAAACATGTTGCAACAAGATTTACCTCAGCTTGAGAGCGTTTTTTGTTCTCAGCTTTAATGCCTTTCTCCAAATTCCTTTTGCTGTACATTTCTTGCAGGACATCTCGGAAGTGTGTTGTTTTAAAAGAATGTATCTCTCTCGGAGTCTGAGAAGAAATATGTTATCAAACAGAGATATTTGGAGATTGCTTTTGTTTTGTGTTGTTAAGAAAAGCTGGTGAAAGGTTGCTTTGACATACAGTATGTGGTAATGTAAGAGCCTTAGACAGTAATTTACACAAGCCTTGGTTCCTGTTCCTCTTTTTGCCTCTGTTGGTTTTTCCCCGTTTAGTAAACATGTGAAACGAGTATTAAAACAGAAATCAGATTTTTTTTTTTATATTTACAACCTTATCTGTTTCCCCCCTCTTTCTGCAGACGCCCGTTTTGCAGCCACACTGGAACAGAGAGGAACAGGTACATTTATCATGAACTCTGTAACATCTTAACAATACATAACATTACAAATAAATGTGTTTCAGTAACTTACCTTCTTTAGAATTAGTGTCACTATTGCCAAGCTGTAGGTGGCCAAGAGGGCAAATGATAACCAAAGAAGAATGTGCCTCACTAGTGTAATGTGCTCTGAGAACAACAACAAAAAGGTTGTTAATCCCAATTCATCTACATCAACACATTCAAACATCTGTACCTTTAAAATCAGACACTTACCCGTCACCACAAGAGTGGTACCCAACGCTACATACGGTATGCCCGGTGCTGTGCATTCAGAAAATACTGCACAGTAGTAGATCCCGCTCTCATTTGTGTGAAGTGACATGATGTTTAAAGAGGCTTTGTCCAGGCTGTACTTGTGAGGATTCATACTCACGTTGAGAGGAAGATGGACGTTTTCCTTGATAGCAAACCACTCAAACTGCAAGTCCTTGGGTAAGCAATTTGAACTGAGGCTACATTTGAGAGAAACACTCTGCCCTGTTTTCCGCCAGATCATCTTGTTTGGCTGGGATAAACAGTCCTCCGTACTCTCTAGATTAAAAAAACAGACATTTAACAGATATAACATTCAGTATCTCCTATCCAGAAATGTTTCAGAGAAAGCAGCTATTGTTGAACAGAAGTAATATTTGCATAAATCTGGAAAAAAGGAAATTCCTGAATAGATTATTGCCAAGGACTGATGTAAATAAAGCTGATAAATACAAAACAAAGACATCTTACCTGTTACTGGCAGGTATGTGAGCAAGAGCGTGAAACAAAACAAGCGGTCCATGTCTGTGACAGTCTGTGAATGATTTCATTATTCCTTCCCTCTCTTGCTGGGTGACAACATGGGGAGTAGTTATATTGCACTTCCTCAACACTTAGTTCCTATTTATCCCCCTGTCCTCTGCAGCTGAATGGTTACTATGGATTTTTATAAACATGACACATTTCAGTGTGTAACATCCTGTCATGATAACTATGGCATCTGTAATATCAAGTGCAAATAGAGTTAATGCTTAGGATTTAGATGTAAATCTATGGTCAGAAATATGCTAAAATATGTTTCTTGTCTGTATAAACAGGAAGACACATCAGACTGTCATTGACTAATATGAACAACATTTTCTGAAGAAGTGTACTGTTACCTCTGTGCATATAAGCAATGCAGCAATCTAATAAAGGGAAATGTCTGATGTGTGGTTATAGATGTTTTGAAATCAACATAAAACAGAGAAGGGTGAACCCACTGAGACTGTGTGCTGTTCACTAAAAACACTGTAAGCCTATGGACCATAATCATTCAAAGTTACTGCCAATGGTCCTCAACAAAGTCGGCTTTAAGAGATTTGTGAATATTAGTAAATGGAATCAGATCCAGCTTAAACCTTGTGTTGGGCTCGTTACCGTTCAAGATTGACCCATATAGATTCACAATATAGATTGTTGGACAATGTTGTTCATGCCACACCCCCACAAGATGACTGAGACTGCCAAGGCACACACGTAACTTACTTACGTAATGCGTGCCCTGTGTGTGTGTGTGTGTGTGTGTGTGTGTGTGTGTGTGTGTGTGTGTGTGTGTGTGTGTGTGTGTGTGTGTATGTGCTTGTGTGTACGTGCTTGTGTGCATGAATGCTTGTGTGCGTATGTGTGTGTGCATGTGTGTGTTCAGGTTCAAGTGTTAGTGTACATATTCTTTGAGAAAGGTGGAGTTCCCTTGGGGGGAGGGGGGCAGAGGGATGGGAGACCAGGTGCATGTTGCGAAAAAATTATTGTTACAGTGGATGAAGAGGGGGGGGGCTGTGGTGTCTAAAGTAAAAGATGAATCTTGATTGGGCCAAATTTGAACCCGAGTCACCCACAACAATGCTGCTGGGTCTCCCCAGAACCGAACACCAAATTATACACTTTTTTTAAAACTTGAAACGTGTCACGGGAGACCCGGACACAACATAAGGGTTTTAAGAACCTTATCGTGCAGTTGTTTTGTTGATTACAAAATTAAAAAAACAGTGCACTTGGGATTTTAAGGGGGCCTCAGGAGCCTATAGGAGACTTAATGACTGGGGAGCAGATCTTGCATTGTAAAGCTCTGATGTGTGTAGAGTATATACAGCAGCAGCAAAAATCCATGCAGAGTAACCAAACAGGGAACAATCAGAGCATTAGGAAATAATATGACAAAACATTGATATACTTTATCAGGATTTTGCATCATGACAAATGCAAACAGCAGCAAAATACAAAAATACTACAGCTTAAAAGTGTCAGCTATAAGTAAAAGTCCTGAATTCAAAATGTTACTTAAGTAAAAGTACAAAAGTATGTGCATAAAATAATAGTTTGGGTACCAAAAGTAGCAGTAATCCTCTTGCAGAATGGCACAAATAAGCACCAGATATTTAAAAAATATTGTATAATAATTACTGATGCATTAAAGGTGGGGTAGGTAAGTTTGAAAAACCGGCTCGAGATACACTTTTTGTTATATTCCATGGAATGCTCTTAACATCCCGATAGCAATGAATATGTTAAGTGCTTTGACAAAAAATCCATGAAAAAAATGTCATCTGTGGAAGCCGTAGTACTGTAAAAAGCACAAACAACAATCGGCAACAAAATGTAGTAGAGTAAAACTATAGTGTAGCAAAATGAGAAATACTCAAGTAAAGTATAATTATAGTGTACATTTTTTTTTGAAGTACTTTGACCAGGCACCAATGGGCACCGTGTTGGCTTCCCCTGATATCTATTTTATCACTGGATCATAATTAGTGATGCATAAATGTGTTTATTTTATTTTAGCAAATTGTAAAGAACGAGATACATTTAATTACTTTTTATAATGTCAGGTATCGTCATCCATAATAGTACATTACATTTCATTAGTCTATTTAATTGTTGTTATTAATTAAATAAACCTTCGAAAATAACAAGTAACTCATCTTGTCAAATAAATAAAAAGTAGCATACAATGCTTCAAAATGGTAATGGAGTAGAAGTATGAAGTAGCATAAAATGACAATACTCAAGTAGTTGTGTACCTCATAATGTACTCAATTACAGTACTTGAGGTACAGTTCCTTTCCCACACTGTATTAAACTAGGTCAATATTCAAGATTCAAGGCTTTTATTGTCATGTGTACATAGCTACAGTGTAGATATATCAATTGAAAATGTTAGGTCACAGGCTCCTCCAACAGTGCAACACCATAAAACAGATATGACCAACTACTGCGCCGACCGCTCAGTCTGCCCTAGGGGCCCTGCTTCTTCTCAAGGGGAGACGCCGGAGCACAAAAGAGCGGCCGGGCAAGGCGACCTGACAGAGGGCACCGACGCAGAAGGGGGGCACTGCAAGTGCATAGAGCCCCAGAACAAGAGTCGCACGAACGGGGGCGCCGCGGACGCGAGCGAGCCGCGGAGCCGTAGTCGGGCCCTGGCGCCGCGCGCCCGACGCGGAAGCGGTAGTTTGTGACAACGAACAAGTGGGGTTGTGTCAGAATTGTGTTGGGGAGTGCTTTGCGATACAACATCGCATTATTTGCTTTGTTAATTGATTTAACGGATCGTTTTTATGGTTATGGTGTCCTGGTAAAAAAAAAAATTTCGTATAAAATACGGCTCGCGCCTTCACTTTCATGCAATACGACCGGCCCCACAGATTTATCACGAGGCCCCGGTCGGCCCGTACAATGATTGCGCTTCGGCACAAGAGCCCGGGGGCGTGGCAGGCCGGGGCCAACAGCGGGGCGCCGCGACGCGGGCGCCGGGCGAGGAGACAGAGGGGGGCCCGGTGTGGCCGCGCCGCGGGGGGCCGGGGCGTGTCGGGTCACGTACCAATTTATAATATTATTATAAATGCAACGTTTTATTCCGAAGTCTCACGACATTTCTAGATGTCTGGTGTTGTCCCCAACCAGCACAACAAACGTGACAAACAGTGGCAATTTGTTTTTCCTGGAACCAAGTTTGGGGGAGTTTGACCACCGAGATGGTACGTTTGCCAAAAGAGTTATAACGAGTGTGAAAAGTGTAGTACAAAGCAGTGTTGATAGTCGAAATAGGAACGAATCCTAGAGACAGGAGGAAAGAAAGAAGGAGACACGATCTCAGTGTATGTGTCGTACGTCGGTTTGACCGGAGAACCAACTAAGTAATATCATGTAAGAATTTTAGTATAATTAGCGTTCTTAATGTATTACGTAGGATTATTAGATTGTTGTATTGATGTACGGAAGTGAAAAAAAGTCTATCAAAAAGTAAGAAACTATAATTGTTTGTGTAGGGTTTATGAGAAATATATGCTAAATTTTTTCTACTTCGTGACTGACTTGTCCGTTATACACGGTCGATGCTCAAGAACTCATTTTACAGAACTAATAATGGGGGTGGTCGGGTTGGAACATTATAATTCATTTTAGCATATACCTTCGTATGTGATCGCACGATAGAATGGGGACGCGGATCTGAATATGGTAGCTCCTTGTGATGCTTTGGAGACTTCAACACTGTACCTAACACTGGTGGACTGTTATTGAGGTCTTGATCTTGGAATATCAGGTTGGTCGTCGAAACGTCCTCGGGTCAGTGTTGGCAAGAGGAGTATTAATTTTCCATGGCTAGGGGCGACACGCTTGACGTTGTGGGTTCTTTACATAAACAAATTATTTTTATTATAATGTCAATTCGTCTGGGTCTCTTTTCACATTTTACTGTCTCATGTGTTTGATATTGACCGTGCAATCGTGAAGCATCGCGCGGAGAATCATGTGCGGTGCAGTCTACGGTCTGATCTTCTTGCTCGTGGTTCGAAGTTAATTGGGCGTCGTGCCTCATTACCTACACACATACAAATCTGTTAGTCTTCACTCTCTTTCGTTTGTCTGATCACTTTAACTTTTCTTATATGGGGTTTTGTGTTCAATTTGCCGACATAATCTCGCAACTAAGGAGTATGATGATTTCGGTCCGCTCCGTGAAATCACTAATGCGAATCGGGGGTCATTTCAATCCGGGGGTAACTGACGATTGCTACAATCGGCGGCATCTGAGTTTACTTTTACCCACATTGTGTACATTTGTCATCGCTCCCGCGGAAAAGCAAGAGGGGGCCATGGGGAGGACCACGGACGGCCATACGCCAACTCCTCGATGTCGGGGTCCGTTCTTGCGTGCTCTTTTATAGCGGACTCCTCAGTCAAAGTTCGGCTAAGTTTCTTTCCGTTCCCTTTGTAGTCGGCGCGACCCCAAGAGCGTCTTTCCCTTGAACATCCGTATACAATGTGTTATAATGCGTATACAAAGTGAGTGTCGGGATATATATCAATGGACCGTGTGCTGGTACAGAAAAGGTATAAAACTCATCGTCTGACTACTATGTGGTCTACGTCTCTCGAGGGGTACAGTTCGAGACTTCTAACAAGTAGCCACGTCTTACTTAATTGTGTCTGACGGTCGCTTTGTGTCTGACAGGCTTGAACATAGGGAAACTTCATCCCAAAAAATGAATCACCGTCAAAACACACTTTCGAAGAGGAGGTCTTACACCAGTCGTTTGTCCACCGGACTCCGAAGTCTGCTAACCTTATACCGCTCACACGTCCAAAGCTGCACCTTTCCGCCTCCGCGACTTGTTTGGTTGTCTCTCTAAACCACCTGATGTTTATACTGACTGTCAGGGCTCTTCATGCGGCGGATTGCTAGTCCGACGACTGCGTTCACCCCGTTTGAAGTCGAGACACATGTTCCTCCCCGATATCAGCACGATAGAGTGTTTTTTCACGTGATAAACTTGCGNGCGGGCAAAAATCCTTTATTATGCGGGCTAAATTCCTTGATTATGCGGGCTAAAATCCTTGATTATGCGATTAAACATGCGGGGTTTTTATGTGATTTTATGCGGTGAAATTGCGGGAAGTTGCGAAATATGCGTAAAGTTGCGAAATATGCGGAAAGTTGCGAAATATGCTAAATATGACGGGGAAAAAGAATAAAAACATTTTTAAATATTGAGCTGTCTTATTTATTCTCTCACACACAACCTGCCACTAACGTTAAACCCCTTTACTATTCAATTAAACACATTCAATGTTTATTTATTGTAAAAGCAATTGGGCTTTTTTAATCTCACACACACACCACACACCCCACACACACACACACACACACACTTCTCCGCCTCATTCCGTTTTCATTTACTCGTTCGTTATCTGACCAGCTTCAATCTTGTAGGCTACTCACTTCGTTTCTTGTAGCCCTCGAAAGGTTTTTGAAGGTTGATGCCTCGCTGAACGTGAGTTGTTCGGCTTTCTTGTCCGCAGCAGCAGAAAGCATTTTCGAATGTTTGAATGAATCAAAGTGGGTCGTCCCCGTCGATTTTCTCTTATGCTCCAACACACAGTTGTACGGGGTGCAGAATAGTTTCCCCCCACTTTTTGCCCCGTTTTTAGTAGAAATGTTCGTCGGTAAATGAGATGGATTAGATTTTTTCATCTTTGTGTTTTCTCCATCGTATGAGCTCCACACGTTCACTCTATACAGTGTTGTTTACATTCTGTGATGCGCGAGCTGATGACGTCACGTCAAGACGAGTCAACTTTTTTTTTTCTCAACTTTGTGTGGAAAAATGCGGGGATTATGCGACCTTTTGATAAATATGCGGCCTTTTAAAAAATCTGCGCCATTTTGCTGATTATGCGGTAAATTCTGCGATCGCAGAATCGCGTTTTTCTGGAGGGTCTAAGTAATGTAGATAGTGCATAAATTACTATTGCAACAAATGTGTTAATTTTTTTCATTATAAGTCGATTTTTTTGGACGAATGCTCCGGGCCAGTGGTTACAATAGTGGGGCCAGTGATAATACAATTCCACCGGGCCGGAGGGCCAGTGGCATTTTACCCATAATGTCTACCCCTGATGTTAAAGTCAGAGAAAGATTTTAGGGATTTCCAACTCTGTCTGTAATGGTCCTTGATAATACAAGATTGTTTTAAGAGTTATTGTTTGGCTGTCAGCTCAGAGAGTCAGAGATGCATACAAAGAGAAAAATATACACACTTTTTTAGTATTTTCTCATAGTACACTGTGAGGGCTAATGTACCCTGCCATGTAAGTTAAAGAACCCAAATCCATGTACCTGAGTTGCTCTCATACCTGCCAACCTGAGATTTCATTTGTTTCTGCATTTTCCAAAAGATAGCATTATTTAGTAATTAAGATTGCCTGTAAATAAGGAACTCTATACAAGCACGTGCTTTAAATATGCCTATAAAAACGTGTAAGGAAGGACTACATTATATTTCCACTAGATGTCAGTGTTCAACTAAGAAAAGCATTTTATGAATCATGTTTAATCCAAACTACTTGTCAAGCTGTTGCTGATGGTTATGCTAAACATGAAAGTTTAATCTGATTCATATTTATTTTGAAGGTATCTCTGGAAAAAGCCAAATCCTGTTTGCTATCGTGTTCACCGCGCGCTACCTGGACCTGCTCACCTCCTTCATCTCCCTCTATAACACCAGCATGAAGGTAAGGCAGTCACTTTTCAGCTCTGGCCAGCAGCTCTTCAAACATGTCACACATTTCTCCCCGGTACTTTCACCGACCAACTGTTCTTCATTGTTCACCAGGTGATCTACATCGGATGTGCGTATGCGACAGTCTACCTGATCTATGCGAAGTTCAGGGCCACCTACGATGGCAACCATGATAGTTTCAGAGTGGAGTTCCTGGTTGTTCCCGTCGGGGGTCTCGCTGTTCTCATCAACCACACCTTCTCTCCTCTGGAGGTGGGTTTAACCTCCTCGACTGTAGTCTTTGCGTGATAGGATGACTCGAAAAGGAACTGATATCCTGCTGTAAACGCCTGTAAAAGTCTGAACTTACTGTTGTATGATTTTCATATAAAAAAAATGGTATTCCTCTTGGGACTCACTGATTTTAACTTTTCATTGAGTAGGTCATTCTCTAGCAGGCTAAAAGGCTTTGTTAAAGTTCTGAAAGGAGGTTTTAATAAATGTTGGAATTGTGTTGAATCAAAGCAAGTATAATAAAGTATTCAAGGCTTTTATTGTCATACGTACATAGCTACAGTGTAGTTAAGACAATGGTATTCTTAGGTCACAGGCTCCTCCCACAGTGCAACAAAATACAATGGATAATAGTAATAAAATAATATAGAATATAATAGAAATTGTGCACAATAGTCGATATACAAGTAATTGGAATATTGATATATATATATAAGTTACAACCAGATGAATGTTTTGGATGTTCTTTCAAAAGTTCAGGTGACTTTTGAAACAGCTAGGTTGTTATTTTAAATATTACATTGTTTCCCTAGCACAAAATGGGAATAAATAACAATAAAGAAAATGCATAGACTATTGGGAAAAATCTGTAAGCATTCATTTTGGTATCAATGTTGAACTTCACAATGGTGGCATCCCTAATTCCTGACCATGTAAATGTTTCTGTCATCAGATCTTGTGGACGTTCTCCATCTACCTGGAGTCGGTGGCTATCCTGCCTCAGCTCTTCATGATCAGCAAGACTGGCGAGGCGGAGACCATCACCACCCACTACCTGTTCTGCCTCGGCATGTATCGGACTCTCTATCTCTTCAACTGGGTCTGGCGTTTCTACTTCGAAGGCTTCTTTGACTTGATCGCCATCGTGGCCGGATTGGTCCAGACTGTCCTCTACTGTGACTTCTTCTACCTTTATGTCACCAAAGGTGGGTTTTCTTGCTGGTTTCCAATTACGGCATTAGATGGATTAGCTAAAGAAATAAGAACGTGGTTATCAGGAATACAAATATGTCTATATGTTTGTTAAAAGAGTTTAGATAATCATGTGTTGTTGGATAATTATTACTCCACATTCCTCTGACACAATCTCTTCCTAGTGTGACTGAGATTTGAGGGATCCACAGTCCTCGTTCCCTGAAAAACCTCATAATAAAATGCATTGGAAGCTAATCTGAGGCTCCAGCGGTCTGCATTTTCTAAATGAAACGGTCCTTTTACCACAAAATTCCCTCTTTGTATTGCTGTCCACTCTCAGTAGCTTAGTAAGGAAACACATTCCGACTAATACATAAAGAGGATTTTGTGCTAAAGAGACGCTTGATTTGTAAACCTGCTCTTGATTTGGCTTACTCCGAATGCTGAGACCTCACATTAGCATCGGTTTGCCTTCAGAATGAATTATTCTCACGATTTTATCAAGTATTTCTTACAGTTGCCTTGGAGACAAATTTTGTTCACAATCTTATCGAAGTACTTCCAAAGCTGCAGCTATTCACACTAGTTTGTTTTGGAACAATACAATTCAGAAAACTTGGACAGTGTTTCAGTGACTTTAGCCATTTCTTTCCTTACAGTAGCTTCAAAACAGTAGTTTTCTGAGAGCCAACACCAGAATATCAATAAGGTTTATTTACTTAAGTACTTTTTCACTTACAAAGAATTTGCCTTTGTGATGGTGCATACTCTACATAAAATAACTTCTATAGAGGAATTAAAAACACAGGCAAAGTAAACCAGATAAATGATAAATTGCAGTAAAACATTTTTAGAAAGGGGGGCTGTATAGAACCTTTTTCATGATGTTCAAATATTCAAAGTGAAGAGATAATGTACAAGGTTCAAGGTTTTTGTCTGGGCTTGGAGAGCTCCGACACAATCCTTCCCGCCTGTCTCAGGTTGCTGAGGGACAGCAGATTGAACCAATCACTGTCTCACAGAGCGGTGATGTGCTGCAGTCTGCCCTTCACTGTGGCAGCAGCATACCAGAATGAGATGGAGAGGGTTAGGATGGACTTGCTGGCAGTCTAGAAGTGCCCCATCATTGACTTTGTCAAGTTAAACTTTTTTAGTTACCACAGGAAGTATATCCTCTACATTTGGGTTTTATCAAAGTGGGGGGCGGGCCTCCTTAGCTGGGCTCAGGGGAAACTTTAAGTATTCCACTAGTTTCTACGGAAATCTTCCGCCTGATCCCCAAAAAAGTATTTAGTTAGTACATTCAGATGGCCCGGAAATGTTATGTATAAACGAGTTGTGTTATAAACACAGCGGTAAATTAGGGAGGACAGCTGTCTGTGTTTTATTATCTGTGTGAATATTTGGTCTCACACAAGCCATTATTTTATTTAAAATATGTCATAGTCTGAATTGCCTAATTTTCCCAGTTCTTCAGATGGGTTGGACACGGTTACAGGGATGAGTTCACAAGGTTCTTTTTTGTTTCTAGTTCAATCATTTTGTGGTCAGCCTCGTGGAAATAGCTGCTTCAAAAGGGCCAACCACTTGTGGTCACTTCTGAACACAAATCGATGAACTCCCATTTGAAAGCTTCTTAAAAATGTAAACTTGATTAGCTATGGCAGCATGAACAACCACTGGCACTGATGGTTTCTGACTGTTTCTTTCTCTCTCGTCCCCCAGTACTGAAAGGCAAGAAGCTGAGCCTGCCGGCATAAAACGTAAGGAAGGAGATGGAGACTCCCAGCTGACTCAGGGGGGTGTGGAGATGACATCATGTCATCTCATGACCTACAGCGAAAAATGCCTGAGACAAAGAGCCAACTATTTGGGGGGAAAACACTAGTCTTCTTGATGATTGCTGATAGGGTAAATGCCAACAAACAGCGGAGCTGAACAAAAATCTTACCCAGTCAACGTTTGGATTTCTGTGTTCAGCATCTTGCCTTATACTTATTTTCATTGCTGTTCAATTAGGAGAAAAGGCTTTTTCTTTTTTTTTTACATGTGAGGTGTATACGCTTGTTTTTTTTTGTTTTTTTATATTGTCACAAATAGGGTAGACTCTGAAAAGTACCTTGTTTGAATTGGTAATGAAATGCACAAATGTACAGTCTTATTAAAGAGTGAGATGAAGAGGTAATGTATCGGAGTGCCTGATGAGGATTATGTCCACTTTCTCACATCTTTTTCTTTTTTTACTTGTCTGCATATACTATAATACGTGTATCTTCTCATGGAAATATTTAAGAAGCCAACAGCAACAGTTTCGCCACAAACACAAACTTGCATTTTGTAAAAACATTGATTTCTAAAATTGCATAAAACTCTGTTTTAACAATTGTCTTTAAATCTGATACATTTTGTAACCGGTTAACATTACACGATTTATAGTTTCAACTTAAGTTTAGGTAACCAATGAAATATAAAACTTAGTGCCAGCAATCTTTGGGACAAACATGTCAGTATTTTTTGAATGATGGCTATTTTGGAATTAAATCTTTTGTGTGTTTATTGATCTTCTTTCTTCAGCTTGCTGTTTAATAGACAAAAAATGCATCAATTATTCCTCAGCTTTAATATACATTTCACCAAATCTAAACAATGCTACATCACATTGTGGATGTGGATAGAGCACACATTTAGTTTCTGCCAGCATTGCACCCAGAAACACTCTTGAACACCTTCCAACAGTGACTTGTCATTTTCCTCAAGGTCGTAATCATTGAAGTCAAGAGTAAAGCAATAAGGAATATAGCTGAATAATGATAATTGACTGAGAATCGTTCAGCCCTTTGACTGGTGGTGACATTTCAATTGTTAACGGTACGTCTGGAGAGTGAACAAATGTTGGTCTGTTAAGTAGGGGGATCGCTGTGTTCAATGGGTGCATTTCTATAATTACCAACTTTGTCTTCTTTTATTTAATTTTTTTTGTGCATGATATCACCTCCATTAAAGATCTTCTGAGAATCACCTTCCAGTGTCGCTGTTTGACTTCTTAAAATCATTCAAGCAAAGATTATAAGCACACTTACACTATTGAGTTTTGGGCCAGTAGTAGTGCATCATAGCCATCATATTATATCTTTGAAAATGTGGCAGGTGTAATGGGGAGAAATACTAAAATATGACGTTTCATAATGTCTAGTAGGCACAGTTCGTTCCAATGATTCATATATATATTATTCCACCATTATTACTCATCTCAAGTTCCTTGTAATACATCAGGATATTCTCTCATTAAGAAAAAACTACATCCATAAATAAATCCAGGAAAAAAATGTGTGTGCCGTACACCAGACTTGATTTTCAGCAGATCATCAATCGCCAATAATACATTGTTTTAAATCCGTTAAGTTAATTATTTATGTCTCCATGTAATTTCACTGTTGAGGAACCGGCAAAAAAAGTTTTTCATACATTACATAACAACACCGTAGTTGTTATGAAAATAAACCTTTGAATCTTGAATCATATTTTAAAGCCAAGAATTGTCAGAAGAAGAACACACTTGTTTATCATGATGTGCATTTATTCAAAGCTTCATCACAAATCGAGCTCTTTTAAAGGTAACAGCAAACAAGTAACAGGCATGTGCATCAGATAGCTGCAGACATACATTACATACACAAGCATTTCTAAAACTGAATAAATATTCTGTGTGTATTACAGTAGGACTAATAAAGCAATATTAGTTATTACATAGTTTGGCTGTGATATGTTATACTTATATAACATGTAAACATAGAGATAATGACACATAGTACAATGTACTAATAATCTTTAGGCTTTAGACTTACAGTGACCATCAGGGAGTCTTTGTGCTTACACAATCTGTTACATACAGTACATTCAAGGGTCTCAATCCAAACCACCAAGCTTCAGTAGTGCTCATTTATGGTGCCAGTTCACAAAGCCATTTTAAACCTTTCCACATACAGTTGACAATTGAGAGAGAAGAATAATCAGGCTTTTACATGTCCTTCGTTTTTGAAGTTTTCCCCTCACTCTCCTTCTCCTGGACATCATGTTGCTGATAGGAATAAAGGACAAGAGAGAATAAATACACCGTGGGAACAATTTCACAGATAATAATATAAATGTCAGGACACTTAAATGGGAATTTTAGAAGATAGGATTACGAAACTGAAATGATTGTATTGTATCACCACATTTAACAGAAGCGCTGCATAAAGCTTTGAATGAAATGCTCAACAGGTTGTGAAGGCTGCTGTATTTGATCTTTAAGGCCGAACTTACCAAGAAAAAGGCTAATTATGGATGAAATGGTGATGTAATAAAATGTTGTGTTTGTTCTTCTTTTGTTCAAAACCCACTCCACACATCAGTACATTACCTTTGTCAGATTTGGGTTATAGCGGCTGAGGATGTTGGAGATGGTGAAATAAAGCGCATTCAAGATGAATGAAACTATGACAGAGAAGAGGGCGATGCCAGAGAGCACACACAGCAGAGTCGTCCCTCCTACAAACAACAGGAACGCTGACAGAGAGAGAAATAAGTTGAGTTTGGTTAATAAAAAGTAATGTCAGATTAGAACAGTTTAGCTTGCATAAGACAGTTATTGACATGATCAGACATACCTTCAAAGAAAACCAAACCAAGTGCAGACATGATAATGGTCACAAGAGCAAAAGAGAGGAACATTCCAACGGGAATTGCAGACATGGCACCAAACACCATCACCATGAGAGCAAAGAAAGGGTGGCTGCTCAGGTACTGCCCGATCCTTGTTTTCATCAGCTGTGCTACCTGGGAAAAAGATCAAAGCAAAATGCAGCTGTCATTTTCACTCAGCTGGAAATGAACACAGACCCCTGGGATTTGCTGACGGAAAAGCAAACATAAAGAATAAAGAACGTTCTTTTTTGACAGATGTAGTTGTTTAGTGTTGTCTTACCTTGGGGTCATCATATAAGCGTCTCAGCAGGGTGGCCCAACTCCCAAACAACGGCTGAAACTCAGTCACTCTGCTTTTGCTTTTGCTGTTGCACTGATCCATCTCCATTCACCAGACTGAGGACTTGAGGAAAACTGAGTCCGCCTGACAGCCAGCTGGTGCAATGAAAAAACAATCAAGGATCAGAGTAAACAACTTTAATGAAATAGAAGACTTTAGTTAACTACAGCATAAAACCTTTAAATACTTTACATTTCTGAAAACTGAGAACAAAGTTAAGTGACTAACCTGAATAATGTAGTTAACTTGGTCCGGTTGTCAGCTCACAACTTGTGAAACTGTGTCTTGAAGTTGTCTCCAACTCAGTAGCAACACACCCTTTATAAAAACCACCCCTTCTTCTTCTTCCTCCTCCTTCTTCCTCTGAAAGGCGTCTTTGTATTGCTGGTGCCATCTGCTGTTCACCGAACATGTTACAGCATTAGACTGAGGGCAATACTTTTCTAAAGAACTGTCTCATAATTAATATTCCAACAGATCATATCATGTGAGGATCTAGATATCATAAACATCTGGTTTTATTCTAATTAAAGTAGGCAAGATCAGTATTGGACCATACAATTGAACTTGATTAGTAAATACAAGAGAAATACTTACAAATGAATGTGATTTGTGAATTTATTTATTTATTGTAAACTTGGAAATGATATGTAATTGATTCAATAATACGGAAACTGATATTATTATTTAGATTATTGTTATTACTATTATGATACAGCATCCAAACTATTTGACCTGAGTCCATTTATAATCCCAAGTGGTCACTCTGAGAAACTGAAACACATAATGGAATTCATTGAAAGCTCACAAAGCCAAATTACTTATCAGAGATTTGTTTCATGAAAGAGGTGTCTAGGAGAAGTTTTACAAGTTTAAAAGTTGCAAGTAAGTTCTCACACATTTTTTGAGGAGCAAACACGTTGTATTATAATGATTGATATTATTAAGAGTTGTTTTCTCGTGTGGAAACGTCCTAGCATTATGGTGGCTCTAGTCTAGATACAAATATATAGATACATTTATTAGTAATTATATTATTATCCAAGCATCGTTTATGTGATGGATTTATCGGCTCTTTCCACAAGGGAGGGGTGTGTGGGGTTGTGCGCCATCTAGCATTGTGGTTGCAGGTTGCTGCCAAGTAAATACTACTTTGCTCACCCGTCCCTTTACAAGACAGCGGTTACGAGCCACCAAGTGTAACACTGCAGTAATGCAATGCAGGACCTTCCCCTCAACCAGAGGCCAACCTGACCATAACTTGAGTAATGCAATGACATTCAACTGGCAGGCAACAGCTGGGATTAAGACAGTTTCACAAGAGTGTTGGTAAAGTACGATGGCTTTCAGGTTACTTAAAAAAAAACTCCAGAAACAGTGTTCTGCCGTTAAAGCTTCTTTACAAACATGGTGGTGCAACAGAGTGGATCGGACATCTACAGTATGTACACACAAAGGCTCATTCTAAGGTAACACAATCAACAGTTCTTAGTTCAGGTGATTGTGCACTAATAAAGGTTATGAATATTATATTCAATAAACTTTATTTATAAGTGCCTTTCAAGACACACAGAGGACACAGACTATTAGGCTACATTACATTGCATTTAGCTGACGCTTTTATCCAAAGCGACTTACAATAAGTGCATTCAACCAGGAAGATACAAACTTGAAGAAAACAGAATCATATAAGTACATCAGGTTTCATAGAGCCAAAAAAATTCAAGTGCTACTCAACTGGCTTTAGATAAGCCAGCCCTTTATTAGTATATAAGTGCTTTGTTAATAGTTCTATCGCTCGAAGTGGAGTCAAAAGAGATGAGTCTTCAGTCTGCGCCAAAAGATGTGTAAGCTATCTGCTGTCCTGATTTCAATGGGGAGCTCATTCCACCATTTTGGAGCCAGGATAGCAAACCGACATGTTTTTTCTGATGGGAACTTGGGTCCCCCTCGCAGTGCGGGTGCAATGATGCAGAGCGGAGTTTAACCATGTCCTGGATGTAGGAAGGGCCAGATCCATTCGCAGCATGGTACGCAAGTACCATTGTCTTGAAGTGGATTCTAGATATGACCAGATAATACATGATGAAAGAAATATGTATGCTATATGTATAACAGTTGGAGCATTGCCCATCCTCATTGGTGTTTTACAGCGCGTACAACTACATATCTTCTGCTCCTTCTCGGGGATATTAAACATTGTCATTAAAAGACCGCTGTCACTAATTATGATGGATGTCATGGCCAGCCTTCTCTGATTCTGCCTAATTGTGCCAAAAACCACCAATCGTCTTTATTGGAAAGGTTATGAATCATCAAATGAGTTGTTTGTGATTGTAGAGGAAACTATCTCTTTTCATTTCTCTCAGGTGACTAAAACGTGGCTACTTTAGATGAAGCTAAGGTATAAAATGAGAATACTTTTTTGACTTTTCATATGAGATAAGAAGCCACCCAGCACACTCTATCCTAAAAACAAACATAAAGGAAATTACAACAGTATTTCTCTAGAGATCCAGCAGAGGGTGTTACCCAGTTTACTTCACAGCTGTCAGACTGGAACAGCTCCTTAAAAATAATGACCACACTTTCTTCCCTTCTGCTCCGTACTGCCATTAGATGGCAACAGCCAGGCTCCTCTGTGGGACTGATCAGAATATTAAATGACTGAACTTTACCACCGCCGCTGACTACTTCTTCAATCAAAGATATGAGTTTCCACGGCCACCCACAAATTAAGTTAACCCCTCAGATAGCATTAAATAAATGCAGGCACATAACTGCAAGAGAAATTGCAGTGTGATCTGTTTTGAGCTACACCAAAGAGAGACACCCCCAGGACGTGTGATGACAACTTACTGTAGGCCTATTTGGACGCTTTATAGCTGCCGGCCATAAAAATTAATCTCTCTCTTTTTGTATTGAGTACAGGGAAAGATTTGGTGAGAGAGAAACTGCTTCAACAGTACCTCTCCAGACTGCTAAACACAAT